TTTTTTTTAATCTTTAATAGTACATAAACCTTTATCAAATATAGTTGAATATCTATCTTTCATCAATTGTCTAATACTCTAACACTCAATAAGTTATGTAATAAACTAAGAAAAAAATATTATCAAGGTGTTTTATCTTCCCTTGGCTTATCTTCATCTTAATTGTTCATTTTCCTTCTATTTAGATATTTTTGTTATCTCTAAGTTTAACTTTCAACTTGTGAGTTTCATCAAGATATCTAAACATTTATATTATACCTAATATATGATTAGAACATTTACTATCTAAAAACTAAATATCATTTGAGATATCTTTAGCATGTGAATGAGTCATGAACAACTTACTATTTTCTTCATTTTCCTTCGTATAACTTGCTTGCTTTTCTTTGCTCTCATGTGATTAAACTTTAAAAAATAATAACATTGAATTTCACTTTTATATTTTTTTATCATAATTTAATTACTTTTGTTTATCATACCCATCAAAGTATCAACTTCCTCTTCATTTTAAATTTCCTCTATCACGAAATACTTCTCTACCACGTCCTCTTCTTGTTGATTTTTTTTATCTCTTTCTTTTGAAGTCGAAGATTTTTCTTTAAATTGAAATATTTGGTCTTCAATTTTCTTAATTGATCTGTTCAACCTTGCTTCATATGCTTGCAAGAAACTCATTAGTTCTTTAAATGAAAAAGTAGACAAATCTTTTGACTCCTCAATTACGATAATAATATAATCAAATTTTGAAGTTAAACTTCTCAAAACTTTAACAATAATTATATGATCATAAAGATATTCACTATAGGATTTAATTTAACTAAAAATTTCAATGACTCAAGAAATAAAATCTTATATCGATTCATTATTTTTCATGAATAAAATTTTAAACTCATGATGAAAGGTTTGAAGTTTTATAGTAATCACCTTCAATAAACCTTGAAATTAATTTTGAGGTATCAACAAAGCTTGTCTTGAGGTTGTAGCTATTGTAATTCTTGAGAAAATTATATCATATACAGCTTATTAAATGAAGAATAATATCTTTGAGTCCTTTCTATTCTCGCTCAGCTTAGTTTCTTTATCTAAATCTGTATATTCATTCTCTATTAAGTCTTAAAGATTCTAAGACTTAAACAGATATTTCATCTTTAAACTTAAAACTTCATAACATTTGCTCGAAAGTATGAAATAAGAGGTTGAGATATTAAATTGTTATTGGAAGCCATAATACCCAGCTCAGATTGAATTTGATTTCGATACCATAAATGTTGAAGATGGAGGAGTAAGGAAATGATAAAAATAAAATACCACGATACAATTAAAAGAGAATACTCTCAAGTAAGAAAATAATAATAAAAGATAAAATTAAGAATACTTATAAAATATTTTCAAATACACTCATCTTTACTTCTTGAACCATGATATTATTTATAGAACTTAGTGATAACTTTTTTACCATCTCATGTCATTCATGATTAAGTTAGGTATAAGAACTAATTGATAGAAGATAAGATTTTCCTAACTATATGAGGAAATCTCTCTATTCTATTGAGAAAAATCCTATATTATGTTGAGAAAAATCTTTCCTCATAATCTGTATAAATAGGAGAGGGACATGTTAATGTATTTAAGCTTTTTAACATCTTCAATAAGGCTTCTTCAATAATTATTTTTATCTTCTATTATTTTCGTATCAGTGCAGTGAGAAAAGCAAAGCTTCGCTCTTGCCTTCGGCCAGCTACCAACGCCATTGAGAAAAGCAAAGCTTCGCCCTTACTTTATTATTTTCAATAAATCTGAAAGTCGCATGTTCGATTCATGCTCACCATATTATTTTATTACATTTTTTGTGCCCCGCATGACTCGAGCAATCCACCCTTATCGTATTATTTTGTTATAGTTTTTGTGCCCCGCATGACTAAAGCAATCGGATACTACCAGCAAGAAACAATATCCATCAACAAAACAACTAGAGAGGTGAACTAATAGAGAAAACAAACTCACTCAGAAATGCACATGCATGTTTATTCCAACCATGTATTTGATGGTGCAAGCGGGGATAGCTCAATTGGGAGAGCATCAGACTGAAGGTTTGAAGGTTACATGTTCGATCCATGCTTATTGCATTGTTTTATTATAGTTTTTGTGCTCCGCATGACTCGAGCAGTCGAATACCGCTCAATTGGGAGGGCGTAAAATCTGAAAGTTCAATTCACGCTCATCGTATTATTTTATTACAGTTTTTGTGCCCCGCATGACTCGAGCAGTCCACACTCACTGTATTATTTTATTACAGTTTTTGTGCTCCGCATGACTCACTCAGAGATGCACCTGTATACTTGCTCCAACCATGTATCCAATAGTGCAAGCAGGGATAGCTTAGTTGCGAGAGCGTTAAATTGAAGATTTGAAGGTCGTGTGTTTGATCCATGCTTATCGTATTATTTTATTATAATTTTTGTGCCCCGCATGACTCGAGCAATCCACCCTCACCGTATTATTTTATTATAGTTTTTGTGCTCGAGCAGTCGGATACCGCTACAAAAATCTAGTGGCACAGACAGCCAGAGTCTAAAAAGCTTTGCACCTCTTTGCAACAACAAGAAACAATATCCATCAACAAAACAACTAGAGAGGTGAACTAACAGAGAAAACAAAGTCACTCAAAGATACACCTGCATATTTATTCTAACCATGTACTTAATGATGTAAGTGGGGATAGCTCA